TTCTTCATCCATCAACACCTGATGATATCCAGCGTAACAATCTACGAAAGACTGTATCTCATGTTTGGCACAGTTATCAACAAGGATGTGGATGTTGGGCACCGGGAAATTGTCTTTGGGACTTGCCCTATTCAAATCTCGATAATCCATACACACCCGAGTCTTCCCATCTTTCTTCGGTACCGGAACTACATTAGCCAACCACGTAGTATACTGGACTACCCGAATTACTCCTGTTTTCAACTGCTTTGTGATTTCTTATTTGATCTTATCACTGATATCAGTCTTGAACTTCCTCTGCTTCTGTTGAACTGGAGGACAATCAGGGTAAATTGGCAATTTATGCACCACTAGATCAACACCTAATCTTGGCATGTCATCGTATGACCAAGCAAACACATCTTTAAATTCAAAGAGGAGTTGAATTATTGCATCTCGCGTTTTCTCATCTGTGTGAATGCTTATTTTGGTTTCTCGGATTTCTTCAAGAGTTCCCAAGTTAACCGGTTCGGTGTCGTTCAAATTCGGCTTAGGTTTATTCTCAAAGTGTTCCAGTTCTCGATTCATTTCCCTAAAAGCCTCTTCTTCGTCATATTCCGGTTCTTGGTTCATTATTTCACAATTAAACAACTCGTTTGGATCTGGGCGTGAAGTCCGCAAGCATGTCATATTATTTAAAGCCGCATTATTATAACTGGAAGGAAAAGACAAAAGAAAAATAGCAAAAATCAGAAAGAATAAAGGAAAAATGATGAAATACTGATTTTATTCCTTGGAATTGGGAAGATAACAGGGTTTATAATTCAGGAAGTTAAAACAGGAAACTAAAGAAAAACATCTGAGTTACACCCTGGGATAACTCGTGATGCAGGAAAGGTGGCAGGACAGGTCTACCCGGACTCCTGCCTAACTGGGAACGGTGTGGCCTCCCAATTTTGAAGCTTAGCATTTGGCCCCATGTATAGCACCTCAGCGGTGCTTGTGCCTTCTCCCTAGTAGTGATGACATCCCATGTCTTGAAGCAAGAGAAAGGAGTGAGCACACAGTTTATCAGGTTTTTGAAGTTGTGCTGGCGGAACAGTATAAAGAAGGGAGCCCTTGTCCCCAACCTTTCTGGTCCAACGCTTCAATCATGGTTGCTAAAGAAATGATCCGACAGGGATTCAAACCGGGAAAAGGGCTTGGAAAATCGCTGCAAGGAATAACTGAACCTATCACCTTGCCTTCCACTAAGAAACTCTTTGGGATAGGCTTCCAACCTACTCCAAAAGATGAAGATTGGGGAAAGAAGAGAAAAAATGAGGGATGGAAGTTGCCTCGACCATTGCCACATTTGTACGAAACTTTCGTCAGACCAAAGTACATTGAAGAAGAAGATCACGAGGCCTTTACGGCCGAAGAGATTGAAGAAATATGTGGGGCAATGAGAGAAATGCTTTATGAAACTCACATGGTTCAGCTGGGAGAAGGCACAAACACCGCTGAGGTGCTATACATGGGGCCAAATGCTAAGCTTCAAAATTGGGAGGCCACACCGTTCCCAGTTAGGCAGGAGTCCGGGTAGACCTGTCCTGCCACCTTTCCTGCATCACGAGTTATC